TTATCATATAAGATTGTGTAGTGTTCTAATATTATTTGAGTTTTAATATAAGATTATTTTATTGCAAATTAGACTTAGTATGACATTATTGACTACGGAATTGGTGCGACTCCTAGGAATTGACTATTGTAGTCTTAATTAGACTTAGCATATACGCACGAAACACTTAGCATACATTACTATTTTAGTCTTAGCATGTAATATTATTTGAGTTTTAATATAATATTACTTTATTTGTAATTAGACTTGGTATGTAATTATTGACTACGGAATTGGTGCGACAAGTAGCAATTGACTATTGTAGTCTTAATTAGACTTAGCATATACGCACGAAACACTTAGCATATACATGACTATTTTAGTATTAGCATGTAATATTATTTGAGTTTTAATATAAGATTATTTTATTTGTAATTAGACTTAGTATATAATTATTTACTAGCTAGGGTTGTATAATATACGTCACCTAGACTTAGCTTATATCACGATTTGTAATTAGACTTAGCACGTAAGGTTGTGTAGGGTTCTAATGTACGACATTTACACTTAGCATACATGACTTAGATTGTTAAAACATAAATGTCTCGTGACTTAGCAGATGTTTCTTGTATCAACAGATGGCTGACCGCGATGAGGAACAGATATTGTACGATACAATCGCGGAGGGAAGCAGCCAGTACTGGAATGAAGAAGAGGGGAACGAGGATCCAAACCAGTACTTGAACGAGGAAGGGAACGTGGAGAGGGATGCGGAGGGGAACCAGCAGGGGCACGTGGAAAGGGATGTGGAGGGGAACCAGGAGGAGGAGGCTAGTGGTAGTCAACCCTCCGTTGGACAGAAGAGGGCACGCGGGCAACGAGGTGCAGCGAAGAAGCTTGAGGGTCGGCACATCATAACGGAAGTGGAAGAAGATGGACGTCCTAGTGCCCCGGCCGAAGCCGCCAAGAACTATGTACGTCACAGCGGTTGGGTTGTGCGGGATAACGTGCCTGTCAGTACGGTGTACTGGCGAAGAACAAGGGCACGCGGAGATCATGAGAGCTTTGTCCCAGATTCGGAGAAAGAGATGCTGTGGACCACAATGCTCGAGACATTCACCCTTCCTGCGGGTACAGAGGACAAAGTGAAAAGGTGGACTCTGAAGAAAATGGCAGAACAATTTCAGAGCTTCAAGGGAGATCTGTACCAGAAGTATATACTGAAGGGGCAGACACCGAACTTCGACACATTCCCAAAGCTAAGGGATCACTGGGACGAGTTCGTTGCATATAAGACAGGTGAACAAGGGAAGGCGATGATGGAAAGAAACAAAGAAAATGCCGCCAAGAAGAAGTACCATCACCACTTGGGGTCAGGAGGCTATAGCGTCGCGATGCCGAAGTGGGAGCAGATGGAGGCTAGCTTGATTGAGAGGGGTATCGAACCGGCAACAGCCAATTGGCCGGAACGATCGAAGTTCTGGTACTATGCTCACGGTGGAACGCTCAACCCAGCTGATGGCTCACTGGTCTTCGGCTATCAGATACAAGAGGCTGCGCGACGACTAACAGATGCAGTGGAAGCCTCCTCTCAGGGCACGTTCCGACCAGACAGAGATAGGGACGAGCTGACACTCGCCCTGCAGACTCCAGAGCATCCAGGACGAACTCGAGGGAAAGGGGTGATTCCTTGGAAGATTGGTTTCAAGGAGGACATCCACACGTACAGGAGTCGGATGAGGAGCAAGAGAGATACCGAGGCGAAGATTGCAGACCTAGAGTTCCGGGTATCGAGCTACGAACTCAACATGCAAGAGGAGGTGGCAAGGAAGGTTGATGAACGCATGGCCGCACATCGGTCCCATGATCCCCAGCCGACCATTCCTCCTGCAATGGTGAGCACGTCAGGAAACCGTAGCAGCTGCGCCTCAACGGGGCAGGTAGGATCACAGAGCATGGACGCCATGCAAACACAGGACGAATCGACCTGTCCCGTTGATGACATCACTCAGCGGACACCATGTGAGCTGCATATTCCTTTGAAGAACTTATCAATAAAGGTAAGATTTAGCCATTCCGCTAGTTGCTGCTTATATATGTTGATTACTAATAAATAATCTCTCACAACATGAAGGTGGCGTCGGGCATGGCCATCCCAACGGACCCTTCAGGTACTTACCACTGCAGGCCGATTCCAGCAGGATACTCCAAGGTCGAAGTTGAGTTGGTCGAAGGCGCGTACGAGGACCTCGAGCTGGATTACCCTGGAGGAGACGGTGAGACGCATCTACGAGACACATGCCATGCCATTATTCTATGGCGCAGGCGGTACATCATCCTCCCTGGGCGACAAGCGGCGTCTCGTGCACCATCTCCTCCGGCTCCGCCATCTCCTCCTCAGGATCCTGCACCGTCTCCTCCTCATGCTCCGCCAGCACCGTCTCCACCTCAGGCTCCAGCATCGACTCCTCAGGATCCTGCACCGACTCCTCCTCGTGCTCCTACACCTACTCCCCCGCAAGCTCCTCTTCCGGCACCTTCAAAGTCAAGGGCCCCCCTAGCTCCACCGCTTGCCCACACAAGGGCAACAAAGAAGGCGAAAGTTGACGCCGCCAAGATCAAGGACCCGGGGTACGATTGCACGCAAGAGGAGCTTGACGCTTACGTTGCATCAGAAGTCAAGAGACAATTCAAGCCTCGAAGTCCAGAAAAGAAGATTCCTATAGACCCCAGTGTCAGGAACTTCTTCAGGGGTATGTCTGCATCTGTCAAGGAGGCCATCAAGCTATCGGACTATGAGCGAACGCTGAAGAAAGCATCTTCTGGAAAGTCCAAACCAGTCCCTCAGCTTGGAGAGCAACCAAACCAGGAGATCGAGCCGTTGGTGACTGGTAAAGAAATGACGATAGAACAATTTATTACTGACACCGGTCTAACTACGGATCAATTGCTAGGAGTCGCACCAATCGAAAAGGCGGAAGTGAAATACATGTACGAACTCGGTAAACCGCTTGTCAAGCCTGAGCTGCTGCAGTCCCTACCCACACAAATGTACAAGTTCCATCAGCTGTACATGGAGATGAGCGCCACCGGTAGAGAGATGATCGGAGCGAGGATCAGGGACACGGACTTCTTGCAAGGAGATGACATTCTCTGGATCAATTTCAGGGGAATCTACGAACTATACCAGCTGGACGCCCTCGACGTCTCTATTATGAGTTGCTGGATTTTATAAGTATATCGTTCAGTTAGATTTCTTACTATACGTCTCCTTTAATTAATTAGGTCCTTGTATATAAGTAGACCATAGAAAATAATATACTCCCTTTTATCGTTGTAGAATGGAGATTCAAAGGGCCCGACGGCGGAGGGTTTTCGATACTGGATTCATCGACCCTCGGAAAGTAAACGTCGCAATGCTCGACCAATATCCACAAGAAACAGAGGACAATCTCGTCCATCTCCTGAAGGCGCAGCATTACAAGACGTTCATACTGTTGCCATACAACACAGAGTTAGTTTAATTTTACTGTCTTCCTACATACCAAATTTCATTCCCGTACGAACTTGCTAAGTGTTTCATATGTAATGCATCCCACGCACATTGCAGATTCCACTGGGTGCTTTTACTCATCGACCTGGAGGCCTGCACCGTCAACGTATATGACTCAATGGATAAAAAAGAGTCTACGTTTGACAAGGTTTTCGAACTTATAGACAGGTACCGTCATAAGTTCCTTTGTTAATTAAGAAAATCTTGTTATGTTAATTGCTACTACGAATCATAGCTTTAAACTCCATGTAGGGCTTGGTATCGGTTCCGTCATTTGGTCCGCGGCAAATGGAGAGAAAGACTTAGGCGGAAGTTCAAATTTCCTGTGAGTACACATGCTCTACATTTATATTTCTCCGATTCAAATACATACAAGTGTATATTAATTAGATCTCTCGTTGTTTGTCATTTATTTGTAGTGCGCAAAGCAAAAGCAGGGAACTAACTTGTGCGGCTATTACGTGTGCGAGTATTGCCACTGCCTTGCAGACCAAATCATCACCACAAGAGAGCTCGATGTACGTACAAATAAATTCAAAATTTCATTACGTAGCGATTTCTTGTTTAATTACTAATCAATTTCATACATTCATATAGTTTATTCGCATGAGGGATAACCTGACCACACACAAGGAATTTATCGCGGCGGTTCAAGAACAACTCATGGGATTCATCAACGAAGAAATCCTTGATCCCAAGGGTGAATTCTACTACGACGGAAACACAATTCACCGGTCCTTAGCTTCTGAGCTAACAGCGAGTACTACTACGTCGAAATCGTAGCTAGCTAGGACATATAATGGATTGTAATTAATACATGACTACATATGTTCTATATGCATGTGTACACATTTTCTATAATGTAAATATATTTTGTTCATATATATATCTATATACATATGCATTTGCATAACATATATATGTATAAATACATATATATATGTATGCATATATATGTATTGAAACATATATATGAAACATATATATGCATGGTTTATATATATATATATATATATATATATATATATATATATATATATATATATATATATATATATATATAAACCATGCAGCAACAGGGGCATGCAAAAAAAAAAAAAGGTCAGCTCTATCTTTAGTCCCGGTTGGTAACACCAACCGGGACTAAAGATGGCTCAGCCGGCCACGTGGCTGAGCCATCTTTAGTCCCGGTTGGTACCAACCGGGACTAAAGATCGATCTTTACTCCCGGTTATTTCACCCGGGACTAAAGATAGCGATCTTTAGTACCGGATTGGTACTCCCGGTTTGGAAACCGGGACTAAAGGGGGGTTACGAACCGGGACTACAAAGGGTTTCTCCACCAGTGTCATTTTGGACTTGGAAGCTTTGCCAAAGACCAGAACTTGTGGTTTAGGTTAACAACAGACATCCATGCATCACGCATAATGGAACTTAAAAAACAAGTTGCATAATAAAAAGACCGCACCTGTGTACAAGAGATTGAAAAAAATCTCCCCTCAATTCTGGCAGAAACTCTTTGTAGATCCACTAATCCCTTGGCAAAATCTGCTCCGAGTTTCTTATTTAGTGACTCCAATCTATGCATCAAACATAGGAAAGGTAATGATTTGGTACAATATAACTTCCAAACTCTCAATGATGGGCATTCCACATTTTTAAGAAAATCAAGCAGTAAAACATGGCACAAGCATACTTGTGTCTAGGAGAACACTATAGATGTTGTTGGTCAACTATGTGTACAGATGTGCGTTAGTAACATGGCACAGGCATACTTGTATTTATGTTTGGCAAAGATCCAAAGTAAGGTTCTAGCAAGCAGGTTTGCACCCTTCCTAGATTCCTAAGTTTCAAGAATCAGAGCTATTTGACTTTCATTACCATGTATTTGAGCCTTTTTCAGATTTTTAATTTGACAGCCATCGATCCTCTCTAAGGGCGCATGTTCAAAGGTATAGCCCATACAAACTCTTACATAATGCATGTTTATCTAGAGACTGTGCCCTTACAATGGTGGAGACAACAAAGACACTAAATCATTAATCCACAAAAATATTTTCTATTACTATTCTTTCCTCGTGCAGCAAAGTTTCCATTTTATAGAGGTTAAAAGTCGTGGCTAAGCAGCTGTTAACTGTAGCGGTGTTTTTGTCTCTCCTTTCCTCGTTTCTCTCTCCTCCATATCAGCAAACATAGGCCCGACTAGTTGATTGTTAGGCTACCAAATATAGGCCATACAGAAAGTGACCCAACAGATTCCCTGATAGCCATGGAGATTGGGGAAATTGATGACGCAACCAAACATCCCCTGGAAATGGCTGAAACTGCTCGAAGGTTCAGATCGATGCCGAAGAAACAGCCCTTAATCGCAAATTCATGCCTACCTAGCGCCAAGAACCATCAACCTGCTACCGCCATGTAGCAATTTGGGAGGAAAAAAAGCCGGATCGGAAGATATTGCAGCGAGGAAGTAACACACATCAAATATTGTGTTGGGGGGAAAGGAAACAGGAAAGGGGCAGCGCTCACATCTTGGCAGTGATCCTCCCTCGGGCTTCCGGTTGTAGCTGGGATCTCCAGTCGCCGCCTCCGCTGCCCTCCATAGCGAGGACGATGATGTTTTGCTTCTCCTGCGACAAGAAAGCTTTGCCCCCAAGGAGGTTTGAGACCATATGTACGGCTCCCGGATAGCGTATTCTCGAACGCCGCTTTTATGAACAACGTTCTCTTCAAACTTCCGAAAAAATCCGTCATATTAAATATTTGGACATATGCATAGAGCATTAAATATAGACCAAAAAATCAATTACACAGTTTACAGGTAAATTGCGAGACGAATCTTTTAAGCCTAATTGCACCATGATTTGACAATGTGGTGCTACATTAAACATTTGCTAATGACGGATTAATTAGGCTTAATAGATTCATTTCGCAGTTTACAGGCGGAATCTGTAATTTGGTTTGTTATTAGTCTATGTTTAATACTTTAAATATTGTGACCAATCTGTGACAACTGCAAGCCCCTCTCATGTCGCTCTCCCCTATGGACGGCACGGGAGGCGACGACCCGACTGCCCCTTCTCTCTCACCTCCCTCTTCCGCCTCGCCGCCGCTCGAGTGGCCGCCGGCAAAGCCGTGCGGCCACAAGGACGGCGGCGGTGGAGCCCCTCTCTCGCGCGCGCTCGGGTGACCTAGGGAGTCACCCAGGAAGGCGGCGGCGAAAACAGGCAGATCCGCGCCGCTCCGGCTAGATCTGGTGGGGATAGGAACGGCGTTGGCGGAGGGGAGGGCAATGGCGGTGGGGATGGCGACGGTGGTGGTGGAGCTCCGCGAATCCAACGACGACGCGGCGTTTGGCAATGGTTTAGGGCGCGCTGCTCCAAGCGGCGGTAGTCGATGGCGGCAGGGAGGGTGAGGGCGGCGGGGACGGTGAAGGCGGTGGCGTTGTTCGCGGATCCGGCGATGGCGCGGCGTCCGGCGGTGGAAGGATCGTGCGGCGCCGGCGGCCTCCATCGCCCGACATCGCCCTTGGCGTCGGTTGGCAACGGTGGTGCAAGGAGGATGGCTGAATCGGGCTCCTAGGTCCAGATCTGGCGCATCCTCAGTCGGGGTCGAGTGGTGTGGAGTCCGGTCGCCGTGCAAGTGGTGTGAATATTGCAGGTACGTTCGGTGTGCAGGTGGCATTTGGGAGCTTCCGCTGTGGATGCTTTGGTTGACAGGGGCTCCGAGGTGAAAATCTTGCTCCGCTCCGGTGCTAGCAACGGCGACGCCCTCGGGCACCGTTCACCTTCTCGAAGGCGTTGCTTTTGGATCCCTCGTTTCAACTCCACCTCAAGGGAATTCTCCGAGTGAAAACCTTAGATTCATTAGGATCGGACATTGTCGCCGTTCTGTCGGCGTTACCTTCTTGAAAGCTTCGTTTCAGGAGTTTCTTCCCTTGTTGGACTACTGTTCTTTTTGCGTTCAGTTTATCAATGCTAGGTTTTCACCGGTTTTCCTGAAATTAACTGTGCCGTTGTAAGGTTTTTGGGTCCGGTTTTTCTTATAAACTGGATCAACTCTCTTCTATAGTGAAATTGCAGGAGCTCACTGCCTGTCCCCTCGAAAAAAAATACTTTAAATATGTGTCCGTATACGTAAAAAAAAATTGACAAGGAATTAAACACGGCCTAATTCATGTGTCATTTTTCAGCCAATGAGACGCCACTTCATCATTCCATCGCGACTGACACGGGAGCAGTGTTGTGGAAAACGCTTGATACGATGACGGTGATTAGTCCGTCACGTTTTTACAAAACGGTTTTCACTAATCATTTTAGAACGAAAAAATCCCGTCACTACCGATTAATCTTCCCGTTTGCGTCTTATCGGCCGCATAATTGGCCTGATCAAAAGGCTGAACCAGCCCACAACGACTACCCTATCCCATTTGTTGTTTTCCAGTATGTGAATTCCTCTAGTTTATCTGATGCCGCTGCAACCTGCAAGTCTAGGATGTGCAAGCCTAAAGTTTCTCTCCGAAGAACAGAAGATAATCCATGCAAAATATTTTTCCAATGCACTGATACTAGACAGATTTCTATATCTGTATAATAGCTCTCATGGTTTTCACCTTTTCCTAATTGTAGCATATTATGTAGTGAATTTCTAATATATGAATCTACAATATGCATAACAATATTTGCATATTCACAAACGTTAAATTTCTGTCATATTCCGATTAATCGTTTGGCGATACCCGCTCCGTCCGACATCCGCATTCCATCTTCCACAACACTGCACGGGAGAGAAAAAGACGAGTTTGCCCTTCTACTTCCTTTTTCCTCCCTCTCGCTCGGTCTCCCTCATCCCTTCCCTACCCCTAGCCAATGAGTTGCTCAGCTCTGGCAAGGATCTCCATGTCGACGAGCTCCCTGGCTAGCGAGTCGTCCCCTTCACTCCGCTTCTCAACTGCTCCGCCAAGCGCGCAGAACGCAAGGATGAGCAGCAGTAGCGACGTCTCTGCCACCATGCCATGCTTCAGATCTGCCCCGCAAGGACGAGGTCAGCAAGGAAGAGGCAAGACCGTAGGAGTGGCCGACACCGGCAGTAGCGACGAAAGTGGGGCCCTCAATGACGGGCCGACTATGGCTCTAGTGGAAGAGCATCTCGCGGCCATGGCAATGGACATGGGGCAGGTATCTCTTGACGATGAGCTGACGGTGGCAACGAGGCGCTGGTGGAATGTGAGCCGCTGGCTACATCGCATGTTGATTTGCTTATTGCTGCTACCTTGTCGGCCGCGGTCCTCGTCCACCGACGACCAGCACATCATGGCGCCTTGCGACTTGTCACCAATATCATGGCACTCCTTTGCACCCTCGGAGTGAAGCCCACGTGGCTCCGCTGAGCTCATATGCCTTCATCTTCACCAGGCTAGGAGCTGGCTAGCGGATAAGGAGGGGATGAGAGAGACAAAGTGATGTATGAGAAAGGAATAATCTCTCCATTGATATGCTAAAATAGTGGCATGGCGTCTCGTGGGCTCAAAAATATCATACAACTGTACAAGCAAGAAATATTCTCTCTCCGGTGAAAAAAATCAAATTCATCCAAGAGAGTGATATTTGAGAATACGTTATCTGGGAGAGTAGCAAATATTCCCTTTACCAGGAACCAGGTGAGCATTGAGCAGGGCAGTCACCTGATGATGCACTTGGAGAAATGATCATGACATAGGACGAATGAATTTTGTGTGCAATTGGAGAGTAGATTAAAGTGGAAGGTTCCTAGTGGCCCATGGTTTTAGAGCCCATAAGAGCATATCTAATACCAGCCTTAGATTATGAGAAGCAGTAAATGAGAATCAAGTTTGTGAGAATCAATAGAAGCTAGGAAAAATAGCTTATGGTTTCTAGTTCATTTTTTGGATTTTATAACTACATCTCTTCATGGAAGCTTTTAATTTAGGATAAGTTGTAGCTGCCATAAGCTTCTAAATGGGATCCCAATCCTAAATGTTAGGAGCTTTCTAGAAAAATACCAATAATTGAAATCTCCAACGTCAGACTTTTTGCTCTCCACTTATGTGGGAGTGCGCTTGCTTCCAATCCCCAGATGTATGGAGGGAGGGCCACAAAGATCATGTGAGAGGAAGAGAGAAATCAGACGAGAGAACGCCGGACTTACTACTCTCCACTTATGTGGAAGTGTGCTCATTCCCAATCCGAACTGTGCAGAGATCACACGGTAAAACATCAGACTTCTTGCTCTCCACAACAGTGCACTTGCCAATCCCCGATCATGCGAAGGAAGAAGGGCCACAAGATCACGCGAGAGGAGAGGATCATTAGAACGCCCGACTTCTTGCTCTCCACAATAGTGCACTTGCTCTCAACCCCAGATCGTGCGGAGGAAGGGCCACGAGATCACGTGAGAGGAGGGTAGAGATCATAGCAAAATCACACAGGCGTGAAGAGATCGCACAGGAGGTTAGAAAGAGATTGAAGATGGCCTACTTTTTTTCATTTTAGAAAGTTAAATTTAAAATATCTTTTTAGAAAGGCGCATCTTTTAATTCTTCAATCCTCGTTAGAGGTTTTAAAAAGAAATAAATTTAAAAAAATAGATGGGCTACGATTTTGGGGTACTGTTAGCCGTGCTCTACGTGCACACATAACCCTGTAACTCACGTCAGAGATCATGCAGGGACTTGGCTTCCGATTTTACCAGCATTGACAGCATGTCTCTCCGAACATTGCTTCGATTTGAGATTGTCCAGTCAATGCATCCGTCGAGCGAGCCCAATGGTTTTTTTTTATTCATCAATAAATACAATAGAAAACAAAAAGAATACTGGCCTTCATAGCACAAACCAACCACCACAAACATGATTATAACGCCAAACTGAATACAACGGCTGTACAATGAGGAATTGAGGATGAAAGCTAGTCGAGAGAAAAATACGAAAAGATACACCCAAAAACAGGCAAATAAAATGGCGTATCTAATAGCAGCTTCTCCACATGAGAAGATTTACCGGTGCATAGAACATTCAGAGAACACATCAATATGTCAAAACGACAATGCAATAGCCCTCTTTACACACGACACTCTGAATAATTAATTACTCGGTGCAACCAACTGCACAAGCCTGCCCATGAAAAAAACACCATACCGGAGTACGTCATGGAGTAATTTTTCACAGTATAACACAGCGGTTCCTTTCTTCAGCTGGAGGGGCACCATTTTGCTGATATCTGCTTGGGTCTGACGGATTATAGGTGAACTGGCTTGTGTCCAGACCATACTGCATTAGACAGAAATACAGTGTTTAGTTAGTATGATAATGATTAGCGTTGTTGAGGCCAGTCCACGATGCACGTACCTTCTCACGCATCCTCTGGCTCCATGCATCGTTTCTGCTAGCGCGTTGCTCAAGGGTTGCAACAGGAACACCAGTAGCAGGAACATTTTGTGAATGAATTAGTGGCTGCCGGATGCTAGTGCTTCTAGAAGTTGCGATGATCTCATCATCGCTGTCATATTCAGCAGGTTTGTTCATTGCCCTGACAACCAGTGCTAAAAGGAAAAGCAATACCTGCACATAGGCCAGCGTTATATAACTACTCTACTATCACTCTACTAACCAGCTGTCGAAGAAAACATAAGCACTTTTCAATAAGAATCCAGAGCTATAATCATCACCAAATTCCAGACCACCTGATTCTAAGGGAAACGCGTGGATCAACCTGTGGATACTTCTCGACCCACCCTAGTTCAACTTAAATAAAGTAAATTTCATTTCTGAACTTTAAAATTTAAACTGCATGTGTTTCTACATTTCAAACATAGCAGCAACCAGACCAGCCAAATCATAGTTTTGCTCCTTCAACCCCATTGTGAGCTAATGACTACTGAAACCAGACAATCTACACTTCCAAAAATACCAAATAAAACACATTTAATATTCAAACCCCATCAGTCAAACCATATTCCAATTAAAAACATCTCATATTCCTACAGAAAACTGCAATATCAACCAGGTAAATTATCTTAAGTTTTACTTGACAATATGTTTAGCAAAACAAAATCACTTCACATCGGAGCTAATCAAATTATATTTAACTTAGCCCCAGAATAGTTTACGAGTTCAATTCAATGCAGCTAAGGTTCATCTGAGCATGGGTGGTGTCATTGTGATCACAAGAGCACTCCATGGTAATGGCAAGCAATAAACGTGAACATATGTGCATTGCAAGGGCAGTTGCTGGCTTGGGTCACACAAGCTTGTGAGCACATTACAGCTGGGTAAGTTGTTCTGTGCACAGGACCACCAGGATATGTTGCCTCTCATTGTTTCATGTACAAGACATCTGGACTGTGGGCTTCTCACTGCTTCTGACTGAGCGATAAAGGGCATCATTGTGTCCCTTACGTGGACCGGTATGATACGTGCCTAATCAGTGTGGAGTTTGTGAAGCGGCTACAGACCATTGGGTTAGGGTTAAGTGAAACCTATTTTGATTGGCATAAAGGCAAATCCTTTTCTACACTTCTGAGATATGAGACGATTTACATCTGTTCCTAAATTCTTGATTACCTTCTAGCATTTTTTGTTCGTTTATTTGAATTTCTTTTGGTTCCATTCTGTTCTCTTTGCTTTTTGTTTTTTTCTGCTATGATTCGTGCACAGTACAGGAGTTCTTAATCAAAGGAGGACAGCAAGTCTTCAGGACTTCAAACAGGGCAAGCTATGTTCTTTGATCAAATTGCACATTTGCACCCATCTTTTAAATTATTTTTCTTTAAGTTAATGGTTTTTATTAGAAATTATTCCAGGGTGATTGTTAATTCTCATTTGGAACACAGGAACCTCTTGAGAAATAATTAACTACCTGCCAGAAATAGGAAAAAAATCCTGCATTCCAAATGGGAAGGTACATTCAGATCCTTGGTACAGCTTGCCTAGCCAAGCAAAACTAATGTCTATGCTATGACTAAGAAAGCAAGGTAAGCAGCTTGGATAATAAGGAATCAAAATCACATCAAGAATGAATAAAGGAACGACAGAGCCATTTGCAGCAACACCCAGTGGCCAGTCAGAGATTAGTTATGGTATCATGCTACATGTCCATATGCCCATATGAACACATGTAAGTTGATGCCATTACAAGAACATGGCTTAATCTGCAGCATCACGGAAGAACCAATTCGGCTCCCCTGGCGCAGCAAGAACTTTCTAGCTCAACCAAGCTAAATCATCTGGCAAAGTCAGTTCTTTTTCTGCATACCCAATGCCAAGTCTTATTGAACAAGGCTATGCAAAGGACACCATACCAGCCCCAGCCCCTAAATACTGCTGCCCTTATTATCCCACCAAAGGACACCAGTTTGTCTGGAAGCTAATTAGGAACTCGGGAGTCAGGACGTGACACAAATGAGTAAGGGTTGATGTACAATTAGAATAATTGATCAGACCACAAGCTATTTCAGTGGAAACAAAAAACGTAAAAGGAGTAAGTTAAAGGAATAAGGTTTTGGTTCAGGCATTCAGCGCAGCCCAAAAGACCATTAACTGATGGGCACTATGGCTTACCTGCCCTTTCACCACAAGGCAGGCATCACACATGCACGTAGACACAATGGGCGATAGAGAGCCATCACTGTCATCATCCACCATCTTATCAAGCAATTAATCTCTACTCTGTTGTCTCATACACCATCCACTCAAGCACCTTTGCAGGCAATGAACGGGGCAGTGGAGGCGACAGACAGCAAAGTGGGCAGCGATGGAGAGGGCAAGTGATAGCTTGGCTGCTTAGTTCAATCTCATCTGTGTAGTCATGCAGCAATCTGGAGCGTGACTGTTGTTGGTCCAAGCAGCGATCCAGATCATATGCGACTTGAGATCGTAACTAGTGAGCAGCACCTTTGCAGGCAATGAATAGAGAGGCAGTGGAGGCCACAAGCAGCAAAGTTGGCAGCATGGAGATGGCAAGTGATAGTCTGGCTGCTTAGTTCGCCTTTTTCTCTATAGTCACGCAGCGAACTGGAACATGACTATGTTGTTGATCCAAGCAGCGATCCATATGATATGTGACTATGAACCCAGTGACCCTGATCCTGCCTTGTATATGCATTAACCCTAAACATTATATACCCTAGTTGGTTACAATTAATTGGTAGTTACATTGTCAATATAAGTTAGTGCAGACTTTAGAGTAGACGCTTAGACCAGCAGGGAATATTTTTGCAAAGCAACTTTACAATCAACTACTCCCTCCGTCCCATAATATAAGGGATTTTGAGTTTTTGCTTGCACTGTTTGACCACTCGTCTTATTCAAAAAATTTGTGCAAATATAAAAAACGAAAAGTTGTGCTTAAAGTACTTTGGATAATAAAGTAACAAAAAAATAAAATAATAATTCCAAAATTTTTTGAATAAGACGAGTGGTTAAACAGTGCAAACAAAAACTCAAAATCCCTTTTATATTATGGGACAGAGGGAGTACTCCAGTATTCAATGATCTCATATTGTGTGTGGTTGTAAACAAAAATAATATCATCCACCAGTTGATTACTATGTGAACCTAGAGATCTACACATAGGTTAAGGGCTCTGTGCATCTATATTATTGGCCTGTTTGGCACAGCTCCAGCTCCAACTCCACCCCTCCTGGAGCTGGAGCTCAGCCAAACAGTTTCAACTCCACCAAAACTGGGAGTGGAGTTGGGTGGAGCTCTCTCACAAAATGTACTAGAGTTGTGGAGCTGGGTTTAGGCAGCTCCACAACTCCACTCCAGACTCAACTCCTAGAGTTATATTTAGGAGTTGGAGCTGTACCAAACAAGCCCTATATCAGTCCATAAAAACTGGTGGATCACCATAATCATTCATCAACTTAACATTGTAAGACATCGAGCCAAGCCATAATATCAAAACCAAAAGTTCTGTATGGCTGGTTAAGCTGAGTATGTTAATTAGTCCTAAGACTAGCTGATCAGGTTTATATGGCAGGAGGATGAGGTTCCACGAATCTGTTTATGCTCCCTTGTGAGGAATAAAGTAACTTGTGAAGAGGGTCTGTGCATGACGATTTTGTTATGCTCATACTTGTCATACACCTAAGGAAGGGGCATATAGCTTGCACAGTATACAACAAATATATATTTGTGTAAAGTTGAACAACAACGAGAGTGTAAGACTATCTGACCAGTTCTGCAATACATAGTAAGGTTACCTGCAGCTAGATTTGTGAAGATCAAAACTGGAAGATTTGTTGAAACAGTTTGTTTAGCTATTTGGTCAAATCCATTTTGAATGATAATTTATTTATAGTTTTAAATTATTAGTCTACTTATTACGTTTCAAATTACAACCACTATTTTATGCCCAAAAAAAAACTAGTTAAGCCTTTCATTTGTACTGGACTGCATGATATAATTGCATTTTCTCTTTGAGTGAACATTCCAATTAACACTTTCTATCATAAACGTCAGTCACCTAAGGAGTGGCAACCAATTTGGAGTACACAGACAAACATTATCTAGGAGTTATTACAGCTTCTATTCTTCAAAATCTTTTATTATTTACTCATGATAGGCTGCGAGTGTTGTGAACTCGAAAAGAAGGATCACTGCATTTATTAACAATCTGCGACTTATTAATTTATATGTGCATGTGTTTATGTATTCTGCTAACCCTGAGAATGCTAGTGTAATCCTTAAAAACAGAGAATATCAGATTTGGATGTTTGTCACAAAAAGGATGGCTGCTGAACAATGATGATGGAATCCACACAGCACAAGTTAAGGGGTACACCAGTTCAGAAAATAAAATGTCTAATGCAATTGAAGAACTTATGGTCAGTAAAACAATTAGATTTTGTTCTTACCTCGAAAATGACACTACCAAGAGCAACCCATCTTGCAATCTCCCAGTTTTCCTTGAGAAAGTCATACATTACATCAAAATTCTCAGTCTTGTCCACCGGAATTACCTGCACAGAAGTTACAGCAAGTACAGTGAACAAGAAAAGGACAAGTCAATTATTTAGTTGATTATTCCAAAACTAGCAGCAAACAAGAGCCTCACGTCTTTCCAGCTTTCGTCGAAGAATATGAATGCAGCAGCTCCAGCCTCAACAAGGATCAACAATATGACCAAGAAAGCGTACTTATAGAGTTAAAGAAAAGAAATTTACTAAATTGTTGTTAGGGATCGCAATAAACATAATTAAGCATTGAGATATAAATCCTTTTTACTCATCTACCTCTTTCAAAGTACTACTTGCAACTGCAAATATAAGTTTTAGAAATCGACACAGTGTGCAATATACTACTGTTATTGGTTATTTATATGACAATATATAATGCTGAACGCAAGATATAAGTTCTATGTTTTCCAAGTACATTCTATATTCAATCTGGCAAAACATATTTTGCATGGTCACTTTAAACATCCTTTATGTACCAATATTAAAAAAGGGTTAATACATTACAAATTCTAGACTGACCTACATTTTTAGTGGGTAGCCATGTTTTTATCCAACCACATGATGGTCGGATTAATAATAAATCTTTCCTCATGGTAATATTGACTATAGTGTTTAATGATGTATGCCAATTCAACGTTGAAATGAAATTTTCAGTGGGGGATTCCTTTTTTCTCTGCACAAAAAGGTAGTTGCACACATGTATTTTGAAGAGGAGAGAGGTGATGTCTTAGAACAACACTATCAGGATACACAACACAAGCAGCAGGTGTTCCTTGTTGCAGCTCCAATGCAACCAAACAGAGAGATCACAAAGATAATTGCACCAACACCAATGAACAAATAGATGAACCTGCATGGAGAAGATGAATGGTATATAAACTCATTAATAACAACCACAGTAGAATGCAGAACTTACTATTATTATTGCTGAATCTAAAAAGGAAAAATTCAAAGTGCCTACAGAACTTCTAACAAAATCTACTCTTAGCTTCAAGAAAGAGATGGATCAGTTGGGATAATAATCTATCATAAATTCATCACACTAGAGTATAAATCTTCGAGACCACAAATTTTGCTAATTATCTTGTTCCAAAGGTACTCATCATCAGAGGTATAGTTCACCTAATCGTTGCTATCCCTTTATCAAATAAAGCTTCTGATTTGGAGGTAGTGTGAGAATTTGCGAATCCTAATAATTTGAATGGAGAAAACAATCAAGCGCAACCAAATGCATCGATTAACACATGTTAACAGGAAGAAAAAGAAAAAAAAGGAGAGGTACAATACTGAATTCCCCATACCATGCTTTAGGGAGCTTGTCGAAGAAACTGCCACCGTCACCTAGGGCAACAGCCGTGAGCATCGGGCGGCCAAACATAAGCAACTCAGCAGGCGGCGCTGGCGACGGTGGTGCCCCGCCGCCGCCGCCGGAAATCCTCATCCACTCGACGAGCAGGTAAATCCCATATCCGACCATGGCGAGGCCGGCGACCGTGAGGACAAAGTTGAGCAGCTTCAGTAGGCATTCGAAGAAGCCCCGGCACGCCATCACGATTCACGAATCAATAAAAGCCGCAGCAAGGTGTAATAATGATATAATCTGACAAAAAAAAAAACAGGGCCAAAATTTTGAGATGGATTCGCAGATTTCATCGGGATAGGATCGAATTGGACTTGTGGGTAGGGAGCGATGACAAAGAGGATCGAGATGCTCACCGGGCAGCAAGGCGGGGATGTGGCGGGACGCCGGCGGCGGCGGCGGCGGCGGCGGCGGTGCTCGACGGATGGGGATCGGCGGAGGCGGCGGGCGAGGGGGGTCGAGGGCGATCGAGGGGATGGACGGGGAGAGATCGATTGGAGAAGGGCGTCAGATCATAGGGTCAATTAAGCTGGGATTTTTTTTTCTATTTTACACGATTATGGTGCGACTTTTGTTTGGGCCTAGTTTACACATGGAATTTAGGATGTTGGCTGGCGGTAGGGACGGCAACGGCAACCTTTTTAATGGGTGGGTTGTTTTTTTTTTATAGAGCACTGCTCCACGTATTAAATTTTTAGAGAATGATGATTAGGATCAGTCGACCGGAGGGGTGGGAAAATCGGTCGCTCCCCCTCCCCCACATGCACATCCCACTGGACCCACCCACTTGTTCCTCCTATTGTTCCACAAAAGATGTTTAAGCTAGCATACTTATAATATTTCACTATGTATAGATCTAATGTTGCAGTGAATTAAAATATTCTTTTGCAACAAATCATCCATATATTTTGGAAACACTATATTAAGGGAATTTGGATTATTTTTTTAATTTACCAAAAATATTTCACCTAGTGTACTCATAATGTTTCACTATGTATAGATCTAATGTTACAGTGAACTGAAATATTTCATTGCAATAAAAAAACCCACATATTTTGGAAACCCTAATAAGGGAATTCGTTTCATTTTTTGTTCCACTGAAAAATGTTTTACCTAGTGCACTTATAATGTTTCATTATGTATGAATCAAAAATCAAATGTTGCAGTGAACCGAAACATTATTTCGCTATTTGCTGAAATATTGTTTTTATATAAGGTAAAACAACACCCGATTTAAATGAGCGAAACATTTTCGATCTACTTAGTGAAACAATTCCGATATACCTAGTGAAACATCGTGCAACATTTAAAAATAATTCAATAATAAGCTAATTTTTTTCATCGGAATATATCCATGTGTGGTCTTGTTTTGAAGATTTAATTGCAATGAATTTAAGGGTGCAATCGGATTATGATTTGGATAAGTAATTTAAGAGAAAAATCAGTTTAAAGTAGTTTTGCACGTAAATCGGGCGATAACGTTATGCTAACGTTAGCGCCTGATTTTAACCTCCTCCCATCGGATGCCCGAGCCAGAGTCGCGTCCTAAATTTTTCTTACTAAACTTTTACAAGCAATTATCTTGACCGTTTAATTTAAGTAGATGGAAGTTATAAAAAATCTAGATGCACTCATAGCATGACACATCAATTAGTAAGAAAAATTAGTATGTATGGGTTTAGAATTCACTTGTTTTCTTGGAAACTATTTTGATTTCTTTCAGGAATATCTCTTATTTATTTAAAAACCATCCAGACGGTTATGAAAAATCGTAAAAAAATTTAACAACACCCATACAACTTTCTATATAACTTCACAAACATTTAGGTTCAATTTCAACTCACCCGTTGAGATATAAAAAGACAAATTTAGCGTATTAATAGTAACATATTGTTTACAGGTAATTTTGTCTTTTCTATTTCTCAATGTGTAGGTTGAATTTCAATTTGATTTTGATTTTAGGTGAATCTATAGATATCACTATATTCTATATTGTCAATTTTTTCAGAACTTTTCATAACTAGTATCGAATTTGAAAGAAAAGGCATGGCCTTTTCTTTTATTCTTATGCATTCGCTAAAATAAATGTACATATGTATAATTAAAATCATCCATACTCATCACAATGCACAGACAATTTTCTAAAGAGATGAAAAATAAGGGGATATTTTCATAAGGATGAAAAGATCAGTTTTCCGATTCTTCTCTGCAAGCCGGACTCGTTACGATTCCGGTTCCATACGGAACGAACCAAAACTCTCTTCGCATCCCTGCCCGACTCGGCCTCTCTGTCGCCGTCCGTCTCTGTCTTGATCTCTCAATCTCTCTTCTGACCGTCCTATATACGACTAGTGCTACCTACGTGCTCTCGTGATCAACTCACGCGCTCCCCCCATATCTATCTCCTTAATTTCGTCCCCCACGTACTAATGTATAAATATTCAGCACCTACGTGACGTGCTCGCCGTCGCTGCCTCGCTGGCGCCCATACCTGGAGCGAGATCAGATTGAATCCCCATGTCGCCGCCTCAGGACCCTCCATGCGACGTCGCCGCCGCCGCCGTGGTCGTGTCACCACCGGATCCTAAAAGCCATCACGGCGGCGGCGGTGACGAAGACGTGGGCAGGCCAGCGCAGCCGCCGTCCGCCGCCGTGCCCGCCAATAATCCGAGACGCCCCGTCGAAACCGAAACCTCGTACTACGTCTTGATGCCAGTGCACGAGCTTGACGGTGGCGCCGGCGGCAGCGGCGATCGACCACCACCGAAGAAGAGGCCGGCAACGAGCGGCAGCTGCTCCGGCGCCGTGGACGACGATTCCTCGCCGCCGTCTCTTCCACCCAAGAAGAGGAAGGTGGCGGTGGATTATCGCGTCGATTCATTCGGGGGTAGCGGAAGCAGGAACCGCGAGACACCACCGGCCGTAACACGGCATGGCGGCGGCGGCGGCGCTCCGGCGGGTAGCACGGCCATGGACCCTGCCTTGGCCAATGAATTACGCCGGCGCGAGATCAAGTTCGGGAAGCGGAAAGTCACGGCGGAAGCAGCACTGACGGCGCCCATCACCACCAAATTACCTCCCAGGGAGAAGCTCATGCACGACGGCATTCGCGCCGCCGCCGCCGCCGCCGCCATGCCCAGATTGCTGCCGCCGCCGCCGCCGCCACCGCCGCCGGCGATGAACGGCCAGCTGCACAACGACATAGTAGACAACCTGAGCGCGGAGCTGCGGGAACGCCTCGACGCGCTCGGCGCGACGGCGCCGAGGTACGTGTGCACGAAGTCGCTGAAGCGGAGCGACGTGGACCTCAACCAGAACCGGCTCCTCATCTCCTGCAAGCAAGGGGAGGTCTTCAACTGCCCGATAACCCATCTCTTCACCGGAGAGGAGACCATCATCGTCAACAAAAATCCGGACGAGACGAAGGAGACGAAGAAGAAGAAGAAGAAGAAGAGGAGGAAGAACAACGACGACGACGAGGAGGAGGAGCCCGGGCTGAAGGTGAAGAAGAAGAAGAATAAAAACGAGGAGAAGGAGAGGCCCGGGCTGAAGGTGACGATGCTGGACCATGGCGGCGACACGTACGCGACGACGTGCAGGTACCTCACCTCCAATGGCGGCTACCGGTTCATCGGCGAGTGGGGCAAGTTCCTACGGAACAACGGCCTCGCCGTCTGCGTCAACAAAGGAGAGGAATGGACCCGGAGCGTCCACGTCAAGCTGCTGGAGTTCCGGTCGCGGAGGCTGCCGCAGGCCGACAAGTCCGGCCACCCGGACGGCGCCCTCGGCTTCGTCGTGCTGCACGGCGACGACAGCGACAGCGACGACGGCGAGGACGATCCGTGCAAGGGCAAGGCACCACCACCGGCCAACGCGAAGAAGAATAAGAAGAAGAAGAGCAACAGCAAGGAGCACGTAAACGCTACTTCGTCGTCGGCGGCGGCGTCGGCGTCGGTGGCGGTGGAGCGCGTGACGAGGAGTGTGGAACAGGAAGCAGACGATGAAGATGAGAGGATCCAACGGGCGGTGAATGGAATGCTGAAGCTACACGACGAGGGGTCGCAAGGGGAGCAACAGGCTCTTCTTGCGTCGAAGGAGGAAGCAGGCTCGAAACCCTCGTCGGATGAAGAAGAGAAGGCTGAAGCGAAATGCTAATTTTAAGTGGTTACCCTCTTAACTACGAAGTTAGATTGTGTTTGAAAAACTTATATAACTGGAATATTAACTGTATGACATCTTATTTTCTATAAATTTTCTTTATTGGTATTGCTTACACATTTTTTTCTCAACTATTTGTTAGCTTTAAATTTAAAATATGTAATATTGAAAAATGTGGAGTTAGATTTAGCTTGTTTGGAAAACTTGTGTAACAAATTAAGTACAAATAAAAGTAAGGTGTTTTGTCTAGTTTAATTGTAGTAACTATTTTAACAAATCCTAAATATTAGTATTATTAGTAAACATGTTTTATTTGTACCATCGGTTAATCCTCCTTATAGTTAGTTGAGAAGACTCTTCGTGACATGTATGATCCATATCACATATAAGATATCACTTCCTTCCTTGTATATGTATTATCCTATATCTTTTTTTTTAAAAAAAAAAACCTTATCGACATGAGTCCAAAAAATCAAATTTAATTTGAACAAATAGAACTTTTAAAACAACTATATACTGCTCTTTGTTTGGCTAATATATTTAGTAATATGCAGGGAAACATCCAATACTATAGTACCATTAATATCTAAGCATATAAAAGTTATTATGAAAATGGAACATGCAATGGTTGGTCCAATTTTAGCGAAAAGAAGAACCATTTTTTACGAACTTATTAGATTTTCTCCAAATATTTAATTTAGTCTCTATTCACATTTTCTCTTTCAAAATATAGGCGCTATGGATCTCAAGTCATAAAAAAATTAGGGAGGGGTGGAGGGGAGAGTGGACATCTCAAGCCGAGAGACGAAGGAATGGGTAGTGTTGTGGTGGCGCATGTGAAGTGAGGGCAAAGTGGAGAGGTGTTTTTTTCCTATTATTTTCCAAGTGAAAACTGATGATCCCATTTTTCCCCAAAATTTCTAATATATTTTTTTTCTAATTTAAGATATAACACATTGCGGCTTAAGATTTTTCTAAAAGTATACCTATTGGCTAAAAATAATGGATCCACCTATTTAAGTGGAAACGAATGATCAGATGGCTTTTCTTCCAATTTCTAAGGTTTTACTTTTTATTAAGACGTAACATATGATGCATTAAGTGCACTACATAGGATATATGCTTTTTTCTAATTTAAGATATAACACATGGCGGCTTAAGATCTTTCTAAAAGTATACCTATTGGCTAAAAATAATGGATACACCTATTTAAGTGGAAACGAATGATCAGATGGCTTTTCTTACAATTTCTAAGGTTTTACTTTTTATTAAGATGTAACATATGATGCATTAAGTACACTACAGAGGATATATACTAGTATTTGGTTACCATCCAAAGGTTAGGTATCCATGTTCAGATGGCGTATTTTTATTTTTATAGTGAAATATGGGTAATATTTTTATTTATTTAATTATA